CGGAGCAGTTCCTAGATGCCAAATGCCTCCCTAAGTCTGCTTTCTGGGGGAGGCGAAGCCAACACCTGGACTTGGGGCTGCGTGCTTGGGTGAATGCGCGTGTATTCCAACAGGGTTGCTGGGGATATAAGCAAGATCCGCGACCTCCGTAGCCATTTTGGTCAAAGCGTATACCAGCACAATTGTGCGATGGTTGTCGCGAAACGAGCGTATGAGAGATGCAGCGACAAAAATGGGGGGTATTACGCTGAGCTTCGAATTCCCTTATATGTCGCCGCACAGTTGCTTCTGAGAGCGCCCAAGTAGACGGAGCCGACACCGCGGCGAACCCACGTAAACTCTGCTTCCGAAGCGGAATTTGTCCTGGTGGCCAGGGCGATTTTCCTAATAGCGTACATCCGCGCGTCGGAACAAAAGGCGCGGCGCCACACACACATGTATATACATATATATATATATACATATATATACACATCCATGTAAATATATACACATATGTACACATACTAACATGAGCACACGACTTGGTTCGCTTCGGTTCGCCTCAAGTCTTGGTCTTGCGTCCAAGCACGGTTGGGGGAATGCAGAAGGACCCGTCGGAGCGGAAAGGTCATGGCCAGGAGTCGGTTGCGGGTCATGGGCCGGATGGAGAAAGGGTATGGTTGCGACGAGGCGAAGGTGAGGACATCGATGTCGGGGTTGGCCCTGACCTCAACAAGGGATGACGTTTCTGACGTTATGATTTCGAGAGTGTGTACGCCATGACCACCAGCGGAGCAAAGGTCATGGCACAACGGGGCCCGAGAGGGGTTCCAATCATAGCTATACTACAGATGCACCGTGCCTTCAAGCATGTCTAGACGGGCCGCAAAAGGCGTCTCGGGACGATCCCAACGTCGGCGAGCCCCCCACCCCAATACTTCAGAGGGGGGGGGTCCGCCGGTGCGCCCTGTACGAACCTCCCTGGAAGGAAGAAGAGGGGGGGATTCCAGGTCGTCGGCGGCACCCGGTGCGCCTGGTACGAAATTCACCTGGGAAGGCGAGGGGATTCGTGCCACGGGGCACCGCCGACACACACATACACACACACACACACACACACACACACGCGCGTACACACGCACACGCACACGCACACGCACAAACATACATACATACATGTGTATATATATACATATATATATGTATATAGATATATATATATATATATATATATATATATCCTCCCCTATCGGAGTTTGCCTCTGTAAGGGTCCTAGCATATCCATATGGTTACGTCAGGTTTGCCGCCGATTTCCGCGGCCCGCCCGGATGCCATCTAGCCCAATAGCCCTATAGCCCAATAGCAATTTTAGCCCTATAGCCCTGTAGCTGTATAGCCCCATAGCCCTATAGCCCCATAGCCCTATAGCCCAATGGATCAATAGCACTATAGCTCCATAGCCCTATGGCCTTGGAGCCTTATTTCCCTACAGCCCTCTAGCCCTATAGTCCTATAGCCCCATAGCCCCATAGCCCTAGAGCCCTATAGCCCAATAACCCAATAAACATATAGCCGTATGGCCCTATAGCCCCATAGCCCTATAGCCCTCTAGCCTGTTAGCCTTATAGCCTTACAGCCCTATAGCAGTATGGCCCTATATCCCTATAACCCGATATCCCCATAGCCCTATAGTCCGATAGCCCTATAACCCTATAGCCCCATAGCCCTATGGCAACATAGCCCTCTATACCCAAAGCCCTAAAGACCTATAGCCCTTTGGCCCTGTAGCCCTATAGCCCCAGGGCCCCATAGCCCGACAGCCCTATATCCCTATCGCCCTATAGCCCCATAGCCCTATAGTTCCATAGCCTCATAGCACTATCGCCCAATAGCGCCGTAGCCCCAAACAGACCATGATTGGGGCTGTTCTGCGGTATCGTATATATATATATATGTGTATATATATATATATCTGTAGATATGAGGAAACGAAAATTTCTGGGCCAACTAAAATACATCATGGTAAAGCGGGCCAATGTCGCCAGAGCCATGTCTCTCGACATCGCGCGAGTCATAACATGCGGCAGAAACTGAGGCACCGCCGCTACGTGGCCGCCGCAGCCGCGGGGAAAGAATGATAAATCTCTCGCCGAAAGAACGCTGTCCTCCCCTAAGAGAAGCTGGGAGAAGGCCTCCCGTGATAATTCTGGGGGCGACATTAATCCCAATTGGCCTCAACAGGCCCTCCGAGAAGTGCCAGTTGGCCTCAAATGGCCCCCCGAGTGTAGTGCGTGCGCGGCCGGAAGAACACCTCGCCAGAAACCCAGACCCAAGTGGGGGAGAGCCCAGAGCACTCTGAACGCAGCAGCTCCTTCGACGGCCACGGGACGCCACCGCGCAGCGCTCAGAGGGAAGAAACCCAGGGGGGGCACCCTGACGAACAGCAGCCGGTTTCCTCCTGCGCGCCCCCGCTGCCGTACGGGGCGGCCTCCCCGAGCAGCACGGCGCGGCCTCAACTTCCCAACCCTGCGGCGCGGAGCGCCCCCGCGGCGCCACCGGAGGCGCTATGCACGGACGGCCCCCGCTCCTGGCCGGCCTCAGCGGGTCCCACGACGCGAGTTGCCCCGACCCAGCTGGAGCTACCCCGGGGGGGGGGGGGGGCCGTCTGTGCGCAAGCCGAAGCCCTGCCAGTAGGCACCCTGGCGGAGACGGGCCCGGGGACTCGGAGCTGTCCCCCGGACCACGTCTTCGACCCCCGAGCCATTGGCCCGGCCGAGCGCGGCGAAAAGACTTAGCACCTCGTTCGCTCAGGACCTCCTTGAGATTGGACGTCGCTGCAATGTGCACGACCTGAGCCTCAGACTTGGGCCAAATCTTTCGGCAGACCCGCGAATGTCCGAAGCTCGAAACGGGCGAAAACGCGTTTGAATAATTACGGCGCCACCTTCCTATCGGTATGCGCTGTTATGACCAACGTCTGGGGGCTAGATAATTTGGAATTCGATGCGCCGCGAAACTTTTCATGGCAAAGCGTTGCTTGACTCAGTCTGGCCAAGACACACTGTAATGTTGAAATGGCCTGATATCAGCTTGTTCAGACTTCCTCTATCCGCCACACATATTTGCGAAATATCGTCGCGCCAAGGCTTCCGACGAAGGCTCCAACATAGGCAAATCACAATAATCGGTTCGGCGGGCGCAATGGTAACGCATGTTCCGCGCAAGCTTCTTTACCGCCAGCCGACCCGTATCATAAGGATGCGCGGAATGCAAGGGCCTTGGAAGGCCATGTTCACACTTCGCAAGCGGGGTGCGGTCAGCGAAAGGTGCCAAGGATGGGCCGAAGGAGAAGGATGCAAGGGTAACCTTGGAAAGTCGCTCATCCTTACTGTGCGGGCTGACCGCGCATGATGCCCTCTCGAATGTTGAGCGATGCTGTGGTGAGGACTGCCGAGGACTGAGGCGTAGCAAACCCGTGGTCTTTCCCACCGGACCGGCCCTTCGCCCTGAACCATCTCAGGCTTAGAGGAGAACGGCATACACACAAATCAGCACTTGTTGGCGGCGCTCACAAGGACGGGGGGCGCTGCTTAGAAAGCGTTGACCTTACAGCTACAGATAAGGCCCACACCTTCGCAGAGGCAGGGGTGCTTCTTAGAAGCTGTCCCCACTCCCCCTACCCTCCTCTGCGCGTGGCCTACCTCAGAAGAGCGGCGAAGAAAAGTCAGCATCTGCGCCCCTCGATTCTGATTTGAGATCCGACGTCGCGAAAAGTCGCAACACGCTCATCACGACCTGAGCCTCAGACCCAATCCTTCTGCGGATTTCGTTGAATTCGATCGACCAGTTACCCGTGCGATGACGGACCGCGCAGTGACCTCGAAAATCTAAGAGACCTCACCGCGTGGTCTGTCACAGCACGGTCTTGGGACCTCGAAGGCCCGAGTCGCCCGAGATGTCCTCGGTGAACGACTCGAGTCCCAAAACCGTGCGGTGAGCCCGAATCCCTACAAGCTCACCACGGGGTGTGGTCACCGCACCGCTTGGGGCCCCCCGAAGCGATACTGGACGAACACACGTGATTCTGCCGGCCAAACCTCAAGGCTCATTGCGATGCGTGCTCCGCATGGACCCCTCTATCCCTCATGACGCTCGTCCTTCTCGAGGGGGGCCTCCCCAGACATGCGACGTCCTGATTTGTTCAAGACGGCGTCCCTGGAAGTCTCGACCCTCTCCCCAGTGCCGGTGTTTCATCCTGAGTCGTCCTTTGACGGTCCCGGGGCCCGGCGAGGGCCTCGACAGGCCGAAAACGACGAAACACCTTCGCCCTGAAATTTTTACATGTCTGGGTCCGGGACGTGGCGTCTTGGGGGCGCCATGCGGGCCTCTCAGGGGGCGTCCCAGGAGCTTGCCAGGAGCTCTTCGGGGCCGTCTTGGGGATCTTGGGGGCACCTGCGGGCCGCATGCTGCTCGTCCTTCTCGGGGGGGGCTCGGGCTCGTCCTTCTCGGGGGGGGCTCGGAGGAACTCAACGCTCTGAGCTCCACGCGACAACTGGACCGGGTCGGCTGGCCCGTCATGGTATCTCGGGGGTGCCGACACGACACCGGACGAACACGCGTGATTTCGTCGCCCGGAACTCAAGGTTCATGGCGATGCGTGCTCTGATTTGGACGCCCAACACAGGTACGGACATGATGGGCCCAAAACCGTGCTGTCCAAAACCGACGTCGGCCGATGTTGGGCAGGCGGCCTCCGGTCTCGAATGGACCACGCCCGCGGCAACGCCGGCGGCGAGCCCCGTCCAGTATGAGCAGGACATGCCGTCGGTCTTCATGCCCAAGTCGCTCCGCACCCACTCACCCGACCTTCCAGGAGGGCAAAAAAAAAGCAACAGCACGTCGACGCCCCAATTCCTGTCGAGGTTCGAGGCAGTCCAGATTGATCTCCAGGTCTGGAGTGCTGCTTTCTAGCACTCTGGAAGGTCAGGGTCCGATCGTACCGATCTGAGCTCCGCGCGGATACCCGGACACCGCCGCCCGGTCCCGCATGCTGCCGCGGGGGGGCCATGCATGCGACGCCCCCCGGGGCTCCGCGCCCCGCCCCCGGGCCGGGCGGCCGCCCCCCGCGCTGGGTGGCGTCGCGGCCGGTCCCGGCAGCGGCCGGAGCCCGCGCTGCGGCTCCCGGCGCTGCTCCTGCCCCTCTCCGGCGCCTCGCAGCGCGTCCCTAAGTGTACCTCCCTCTCCTGCGCCTCGAGCGCAGCCAAGAGCGGAGTCCTGGCCGAGCATCCTGCAGCAGCTCGTGGGCGAGGGGCCTGGGACCCCACAGCGCGCACCTGTCCTTGGTGGCTGACCGCTTCGGGCAGGACGGGGCGAGCTGGGTTAGCCAAGCTCCTTCTCCTGCTCCTCCTTTGCCTCCTCTTCGCATCGGCCCCCTGCAACGCTTAAACCCCTGCCGTCCCACCGAAGACACATCCCGTCCTTCTGCCTCTCCCTCTTCCTGACGCTCCTGCACCAAGTCCTGCCCGCTGCCAACTGAACCGATTAATCGTTATTGAATCGATTTAGGGCCCCCAAAAAAGCAAAACTAAGGTTTCATCGTACTACCTTGGAGAACAACCAAGAACAATGGTTTCCCATTTCGAGAACAATAAGCAACCGCTATCCAACGACCAACAATGCTAGCCAGCGTGGGCTACAGGCAATACATGTTTGAACTGTGAATGTGCAAGCTATGTGGTGTAAGTTATGTGGTGTACGCTATGTGGCCAAGTATATTTACATATACATGGAGCAAGCTGGAGGCTGCCACGAGGCGGCAGCGGGCGGCGACCTGACGAAACCTCGCTGGACCTACCCGTCGCACGAGGCGGCCACGACGCGGCCACGGTCGATGGCGTGGGGAAAGTTCGCTGGACGCGATCAGCGCACGAGGCGGCCACGAGACTGCAACGTGTCAAAATTTTGCCGGACTCACCGAGCGCACGAGGCGGCCCGCCGGACCCGCCCAGCGCGCGAGGCGGCCACAAGGCGGCAACGTTGCGAACCGTGGCCGGACCTGCCCACCGCACGAGGTGGCCACGAGGCGGCCTGTGGGCGGCGCAGGAACGTGGAGAAACCTCGCCTGACCCACCTAACGCACGAGTCGTCCACGAGCGGCGACATGGCGGAACCTCGCCAGGCCTGCCCACTGCACGAGGCGGTCATTCAGCGGCCACGAGGTGGCCACAAGGCGGCCACGAAACCTCGCCAGATCCACAGCAAGCACGAGATAGCCACGAGGCGGTCACGGGAGGCAACGTGGCGAAACCAAGCCAAACCCACCCAGCGCACGACGCGGCCACGAGGCGGCCACGGAACCTCGCCAGACCCACACGGAGCACGAGATAGCCACGAGGCGGCCACGGGCGGCGCAGCAACGTGGGGAAACCACACTGGGCCCACCCAGCGCACGACGCGGCCACGAGGCGGCCGCGAGCGGCGAGCGGCAATGCGGCGAAACCTCGCCAGACCCACCCAGCGCACGTGGCGGCCACGAGGCGGCCACGGGCGGCAACGTGGCGAAACCTCGCCTGACACACACAGCGCACGGGGCGGTCAAGAGGCGGCCATAAAAAAAGCAACGTTGCGAAACCTTGCTGGATCCACCTAGCGCACGAGGCGGCCACGAGGCGGCCACAGGAGGCAACGTGGTGAAACCTCCCCTGACCCACCCAGCGCACGAGGCGGCCACGATGCGGCGACGGTGGACAACGTGAGGAAACCTGGCCAGTCCAGCCCACCGCAAGAGGTGGCCACGAGGCGGCCACGGGCGGTAACGAGGTGAAACCAAGCCGGATCCACCCAGCGCACGAGGCGGCAAAGAGGCGGCCACGAGCAGCAATGTGGCGAAGCCTCGCCAGACCCCCCCATGCACGAGTCGGCCACGAGCAGCAACGTGGCGAAAACTCGCCAGACCCCCTCAACGCACGAGGAGGCCACGAGGCGGCCCATGGGGGAAAGACATGGAAAATCCTCGCTGGACCTCCAAAATTGAACCCCTCAGCGCAAGCACCATCTGGGGAAACAGAAAACCATGCTTCCCCAGGCCGGAAGTGAGTCTAAAACTCTCCAGCCCTGGGCGAATTCCCCAGTTGGGGAGTAAAAACCACGATTCCCAAGTCCTGGACAAATCGCAGAAAGCCATGCTGCCCCAACCAGACAGTGTCAGCCAGCGTGGACCTCAGACAGGGTGTTCCAAGCAGTATAGTGAGTGCAAGATTTGTTGTCATCTATGCGGCGCCGTATATGTGGTGCAACTTGTGTGGTGCAATCTATGCTGTGCAGTCTGTGTGAAACAACGTGTGGCGCAAGATACGTGGGCTATGTTGTGCAATTTGTGCTGTGCAATCTATGTTGTACAACCCATGTTGTATAATCTCTGATGTGCAATCTGCTGTTCGGGAAGCGTTGCACAAGACAACGAAAACTCAGTCCAGATGGGATGCCAGCCCCCACCCTGTACATAGTCAGGAGAATGCCTACGTGCCTAACAATAAGTCGGCCCCTGGTACCCCAAACCCTGGCTCTGTCACAGACTTCGATGTACCGGAACATCTCTGGCGTGAATGCAGGTGCCAGGTGGGATTTACCTACCCCAGGGGCCGGTTCAATGTCGTCTGCTTCTCCCCCACTCAACGCGTGCACGATGCAACATTCGTGCTGCTAGCACGGCCTTTCTTTCCTCCGTAGCCTCTTGGCTCGAACATGCAGCTTGCGCAGCAACATCTGGAATGTACGCTTCCTGGGCTCCGACCGCTGAGCCAGCGATTCTTCGCTATCATTGGGAGTGGGAGCAACCATCGTCTGGGGCACTCTCTCGGACAGCAGGCCCCAAGTTCACGGTCAAACCTCTGCGCCAGACCCTCAATACTCGTGAATTGCCGCTGCGGGAACCACAGATCGCAGTGGTGGACTCGCCTTCCTAACGTGGTGCAGGGTTTGGCCAAACATCGGAAGCGGGACAACGGACCCAAGCATATATCACACTTTGGCACGGCGTGCAGTTGTCTCGCCAGCTCGCGGCCGTCAGGGGTTCAGTTCTACGTGGGGGAAGGGACACACCTTGGCAGCGATGGCTTTATGCGTTTGCAATGCCGATGGAAGTACGGGTCCCGATCCTCGAATCCGTTGTCGAATCTGCCGAACGGGTGATTGAGCGATCACAGAGACCGGCATTGTATGAATCATTGGCGGACTGCAAGAAGTGGATGACCGAACCAGCAGCGACAGGAATATGGCATCGGTCTCTGCAGCCTAACGAAGTTCTGGAGGATGGGGAGTTGCGGTGACATCTAGAGGGCACCATGGACAGCAAGCAGCGGAAGTACCAACGTTTGTGGGACCCATAACCATTCACAGGAATGCCACGGCTAACAATTTCGAACAATCAATCCAGCGGCTCTGCTGCAGCCTTTGCCTGTTGTGTCGGCCAATGATCTTTCCCACGCGTCTTCCAAGATGAAGGCGACAGAAGGTCTGGGGGTTGACGTGTTCACACCAGGGGATTACCAACGGCTCCCAGTCACTGCCATCAACGAGCTTGCCCTCATCCTGAGTGCGGTGGAACAGCAGTTGACTCGGCTAGCTCAACCTAGTGTCACCTTTGGACGTCTTATCCCAAGAAAGTAGCAAGTGACCAGGCCAAGCGGCTGTGTGGGACGCAGCGGTGGCGGGCAACTGGTGTCCTCAGGAAGCGCTCCCCAGGGAAGTCGGGCGTGTCCCTCTACAGGAAGAATATTCTAAACTAGTTCAAACATTAAAAGGGGAAGTTATTTGGACTATTTTGAATATTTTGGTGATTTGTTTGTTTTTCGTCCAAAATCCGCCTGTAGGAGGACACGCCCGACCTAACCCCAGGGCCATCGACGAGAAGCCGGCGCATACCATGAAGATGAACTACGGGCACGCCTTCACGGACGTGCAGGCGTTCTACGACTCGATGCCGTTGCAACCGCTCGCGAGGGCGGCGCTGCCGCTGTCGTTCCCTCCCACCAGTCATAGTATAGCTGGAGCTATTGCAGTGTACTGCCTGCAGGGCTTTGCTCAACGATGGTGCCGATACCAATCCATGTGAGCTAAGTCTGAGCGTGGAGTGGCAGGTGGTTCGCGAGGATCTGAACACACTTTTAGATGTAGCAACTCACCTCGGCTAGGCCCCACACTCTGGGTATCGGCTTTGGGTGGACGACGTCTCTCAAAACGTGGTTGGGTCAAAGGAAGCGATTGTCAACCATGTGTTGCCCCGAATTGCGACCACGTGCCATGCCTTGTCGGCTCTTGGGAATCGACGCTAATGGACGCGATGCGACGCTCAATCAGCGTTAATCGACGCTACATCGGCGCTATCTCCTCGACTCCCAGACGCTAATCGACGCTCCTCGACGCGGAATCAAGAGGGTATAACAGGCTCCCATGGCTTGCTACCGAGAAAGCTGAGGGTGTCGCCGAAAACAACGATTTTGTGTACCAACAAGCGGGATGCAAAATTCGGTGGTCCGGGCGGTGAGGGTCCGTGGCTTTCGGGCACAGGCCGTCCAGCAATCACCACACCTTGTCGTTGATTCGACTGTGGTCGACACGGACGTGCCAAACGAACGAAATAGAACAAGAACACACAACTTGATGAGTCAAGAGATGGTCGCTGTTCAAGGGTTCCAAAAGTATCATCATACATCTCGTCTCGACAAAGTGTGGGGTCAAGCAGCAGGCACATACGGATACCAAGTCAGAGGAGAAAACGCAATAAACACAAACTTTTGGCGCTCCGCGCGGATGCCTTGGATCTGCGCTGGACCCCCTCCTCGCGCGCGGAGCGCGCCAGGGGCGGCGCCAGAGGCGCCGCCAGGGGGGCCCGGCGCGGATCCAAGAAATCCGCGCGGAGCGCCAAAAACTTATGTTTATGGTTATGGTTATGGCGTTCTTTCTTCTTCGACAGGTCCGATGTACGTTTGATCGCCCAATCACAGATTGCAGAATACGAGTGGCGCAGTCGTGTGCTACTCCCACGGCTGGGCGATGTCCGACGACCTT